AACCTATAACAATCAGAGTCTGACATACTTGTTGTAGGATATACGAAGCACTGCATTACTACGTCAGTAACCTATAACAATCAGAGTCTGACATACTTGTTGTAGGATATACGAAGCACTGCATTACTACGTCAGTAACCTATAACAATCAGAGTCTGACATACTTGTTGTTGGATATACGAAGCACTGCATTACTACGTCAGTAACCTATAACAATCAGAGTCTGACATACTTGTTGTGGGATATACGAAGCACTGCTTTACTACGTCAGTAACCTATAACAATCAGAGTCTGACATACTTGTTGTGGGATATACGAAGCACTGCTTTACTACGTCAGTAACCTATAATAATCAGAGTCTGACATACTTGTTGTAGGATAAACGAAGCACTGCTTTACTACGTCAGTAGCCTATAATAATCAGAGTCTAGTTTCATGTCATATCTTCCTTGCAGTTCCCACACAGAACTAATTCGGAGTAATGTACTTAAAACCACTATTAATCTTAGTGTAATTTTTCACCAAATAGATTAACCTCAAGAGGATTACGTTTTACTTATTTCTGTAATATATGTATATTATCATGAGAAATACTTGGTTTATAGATTAAGAATTTACCCACCATATGGTTAAGAATAGTGGCAGCAACCGAGTCACTATCTCGGCCACGTGTTCCTTCCTGGCTATCTTAACAGTATGGTGTATTTTGTGTATTTGGTAATGTCACCCTGACACCTTTCTGCTATCCCCAGTTTGAGAACCCCTACTAACCCCGAAAAGCAACAGATTCACGAATCCTCCTGGGTTTGGCGAAGCCTAGTAGGTAATTTGCTTGACTGGGGATTCGAATGTCCCATAGTCGAAAAAAAAATCGCACTCTCCATTTTGGAGCCATGGGTGCGTTATAAGAGTGACGGGTGAATCCTACTATTCTATTAGAGTAGCCCAGGAGTTGGTGATGGGTACTATTGATTAGCTATCTTTTCTCCAGTCTGTCAGTTCAAAATTATGGACGGCTAGTGCAGATAACCCTTGTGCAACCTTTCAAGAATATCTGAAACAACCGGTCACAAATCTTTTCTTTCACAATAAGTTTATAAATGTTGTACAAAACTCGGTATTTTTATATTATAACATGTTACTCTTACAATTCAACCACTGTTAATACGTAATTGATATTCCATTCTTTAAATACCCAAATGACATTCCATTATTTTACCACCTAAACTACATTCCATTATTTTAACACCTAAATTATATTTCATTATTTGAGCACCTAAACTACATTCCATTATTTTAACACCTAAATGATATTCCATTATTTTAACACCTAAATTGCATTCCATTATTTTAACACCCAAATGACATTCCATTATTTTAACACCCAAATGGCATTCCATTACTTTAACACCTAAATGACATTCCATTATTTTAACACCCAAATGACATTCCATTATTTTAACACCTAAATTGCATTCCATTATTTTAACACCTAAGGGACATTCCATTATTTTAACACCCAAATGGCATTCCATTACTTTAACACCTAAATGGCATTCCATTACTTTAACACCTAAATGACATTCCATTATTTTAACACCCAAATGACATTCCATTATTTTAACACCTAAGTGAAATTGTTTCGTCAGTTGTTATTGGCAAAAAAATCGTATCTACCACTGATGATTGTATTTCAGCATGTGGTTTTATAACTTATCTATCACTATTGTACACATTACTTCCTCTCAGTGTACTTTCCAAATATTTACCTTAAGCATATTTGCGTTGTGTGATACAAGTTTACCGGAAAAACGCAAAAAACCCTTTTAAGCTCAGCTCACGTTTGTAGAAGAAAAACATTTTTTTTACTCTTCAGTCATCTCATCTTAAAGTTGTTTCTATTTTTTTTTGTCTTTAACTTTTTGTTTTGATCGTTACTTTAATATCTATCTCTAAGTTACTGTAAATGGCCACCAAAAAAAAATTAAAGAAGTAAAACGTAGTAACCGTAAAAGTTTCAGTTTTTTTAGTATCTTATTTTTCAGATTTGTCTCATGCGTATATGCCCTGGTCATATATATAATCGTATTACAATAAACATTATCAAATCATGCAGTTATCGTGTAAGATAGTAAAACACTTCTATTTAAGTGAACAGTCTCTATGATTTTACAATTCAAAGATGTTACATTCGAAGAGTGGTGATACATTTAGGCATGTTTGTAGATAATGTTTTCACTTTTGGTTATACAAAGTATCACTGTTTTGATGTATTTGTTTATAATCTACTACTATGCTGAGGAATACGCGTTCAAGTTCCTGCTATTAATGTAGCTATGTAGAGTTTAATTCATTCTAGAAGTTCGGTTTGTAGACGGTAAAAAAATCATACATGAGGAGTGAATACACTTAACTTCTGTTAATGAGGTATCTCAATCATTTATGCCTATAGAGAACAAACGACTGAGATATTTAACAAATGTAAATTCCGTAAAGTAATGGCATATATCTGTGTGCATACACACCTACAGTACACAAACCAACAGGTGTAATCGGAATTGTAATATTACAACAACTCTCCCTCTCCACACCCAACGGTTCATTGTTATGTAATTCAGGTAACTGGTAGTAAGACATGTAATCCGAAAAAATAAATGACCAATGAAGGATGACTAAGCCTGTTCTTCTCACATAGCCTTGACCCCGGTGAAGGCTTATCACGCTAAAAATCGGGTTTCGATACAAGCGATTGGAACTTCACAAATACCCAATTGTCTAGCTTTGAACCTAACAGCAGCAAACACATCACAATCTTGTCTCAGTTGTCAGTTTTAACCCCATTGACTGCGGCTGCTTTAAATATTAAGTGTACCAGCCGTACACCGTGTACGGCACACTCGCATTCAACTGCCAGAGGCAGAACGTACCCTATACGGCGAATCAGCAGTCAAGGGGTTAAATAAATCACACAGTTTAAGCGACTTCCTGGTTGTTTTTGAACCATATCTACACTTCAAAGAAGGCATTAAGGATGTTTCAGTCACGTGGAAAGTCATTGGACAAATGTAAGCTAGCCAATCACAGTAGGCTTTTGTGGATTAGCTACAGGTGTCTTGAAACGTCGTTAGCTGAATATTTCGACCTTTTCCAAACCAATGGTATAAGTATCTGTACAAGGCAAAACATGACACAGCCAGGTATTTGTTGGTTTTAACCTGCTCCGAGACTGAATCAGATGTTCGGTAACGCAACTGGGTGCTATTTTAATGCTATACTGTCATAGAAACAATCTTCACATTACTGGTCTATATGTAAAACTTCTAATTAGATACACTCCACTCATAGCAAGACACAAAACACCTCGTCTGCATTGGTTCCAGAAACCAAAGATACATCCAATGAACCAACGACATACAGAGCACTATTCTCTTTAAATATGAGTCGATTTTCATTCAGCAACCAGATAACATATTTATATTTATTTGAAGATAACCTGGAACCCTATTGATCCTATCTTATTGTCTTACAAGAATGTAATTCGTATTGCAGTGGTAGAAGTACGGGCTAGAAGGAACTTACAATGGTGAACGTATTGACCACTACTTCCAGTAAAATGGTAACATCATCATTTTATAGATCCCTTTTATGATGCATGCTATCAAGTGACTCCAGACACTATAAAGCCTTGATGCTTGCTATCGAGTGACTCCAGATACTATAATGAAGCCTTGATGCTTGCTATCAAGTAACTCCAAATACTATAATGAAGCCTTAATTCTTGCTATCAAGTGACTCCAGACACTATAATGAAGCCTTGATGCTTGCTATCAAGTGACTCCAGACACTATAATGAAGCCTTGATGCTTGCTATCAAGTGACTCCAGACACTATAATGAAGCCTTGATGCTTGCTATCAAGTAACTCCAAATACTATAATGAAGCCTTAATTCTTGCTATCAAGTGACTCCAGACACTATAATGAAGCCTTGGTGCTTGCTATCAAGTGTCTTCAGACTATTATCGAACGAGTCTTTCAGAGAAATGATTCAGTATATCTCACGACATTATCAACACTGTAATGTTGACCATGCAGCATTGATACTAAGCCTCCTGAGTCAGATCTAAACAGTGACCCCCCCTTCACCCATCCACCCATACCTCATGTAATATGTCACTTTACGTACATGCCAGGTTTGTTGACAATCTTTCGAGCGACTTCTCATTTATAAGCAGACACAGAGATAGACTTTTATCATATTATGGTTTGGACATGTATATAGTGTTCTTCTGCTTAGGTTTGTGAGTGTATATTCATAATAAACCTCTTTAACATAATTGTTTAATTTATTGTGTTTTATAGTGTCAATCAATTTATGTTTTAATAATATAGTAATAATTAGGCTTGAATGTAAATTCTAGTCGGAGCATGATAAACTAGAGAGGCATTCAGTAGAGCGAATATTCCTGTCAAGCAGCGTTGATCATATTCGGCTGTCCAAAAAATACAAAAATGTGTCCGTATGTCCGGTGTTATTAACAGACACGGACCATTTTTGGTAAGACAATGAGGAATAATATTCTACATATATATATCCACCAAGTTGCATCAAAATCCGATAAGTTTTGACTGAGTTATAAAACAAAAATAGTGTGAAAACATCGGCCCCCATGTTAATAGGTAGGAATATTTTTGGATTTTTTCTTCATGACCTTAATGTGACCTTGACCTTCGACTTTGGCCCTCCAAAAATTAAACACTTCTAAATTTGGTTGTAGTCCAAAAGTATACAAACTTTCGTACAAATTCATGCAGCCGTTTTTCAGAAATGTTGCTGACAAACAAACACACACAGAGTGCGTCCACTTTCGGTGGCGTAGGTAAACATATTTGCGAACATTTTGTACGTAATTATATAATGGGGGATTTTCTAGGTCTCCATTTTGGAAAAGTTACAGAAGAGAAAACTTAAAGAACACCTTACTTTCTTTTTTCCTTTCAGGAGAGAAGCAAGCCTCTGTGCAAAACGATGGCAGACCACGAAACGCTTCAGCAGTCGGCACAAAAGGATCGTATGTACCGCTCCACTTACTATACTTCTGTCTGCAACAACTTTATCAGCACTGGTGGAGATGACAAGAAGAAAGACTGAATACTTGGAGGAGTTGTGGCTTGTCCATGTACGTACTTTATATCTCCACTCTTTGTTGTTAGTCACGCAAGGCATTGAAAATTTAGTTTAAGTTAATTATAAGATCGAGTGTAAAGAGACTTAAACTGGCTTCGAAAGAAACTGTATAGTTTTGGAGAACACAAGTATACTCCCAAGTGCATTTAGAAATCATTTTTCGTTTTATTTTCTATTCAAAGCAACGATGAACATTAAATTATATAGTCAATCAACTCGTAGTAATCAAAGCAGAATTAATCATTAATCTATATATATATATTAAAAACACTATAATTATCATTTGGATCTAATATACAGTTTGTCCTAGCATAATGTCATAAGTGTATGTCAGAATGACCCTGTAGTTTGTCCTAGCATAATGTCATAAGTGTATGTCAGAATGACCCTGCAGTTTGTCCTAGCATAATGTCATAAGTGTATGTCAGAATGACCCTGTAGTTTGTCAACCTTATTCCAAGTATCCCCATAAAAATAAATCACGTGCAGCAGTTTTAATGGGCCGTTCCAGTGGATACCTAAGCTGCCATTTGTAACGCAGTACGTAGAATGTAACGACCGCGCTGATATCGTCTACACTTAGAATATGAAAGGTAATTTTGTTGGAAGGCACTGTATTAGTTTCTATGCCGTTAATACCTAACTAAAGAGAAAGCACTGTATTAGTTTCTATGCCGTTAATACCTAACTAAAGAGAAGGCACTGTATTAGATTCTATGCCGTTAATACCTAACTAAAGATTTACCTTTGACTATGTCACGTAGACTTCCTATAGTTAGAAAAATATAACTTGTATGAAAAATATATTGTTGTATTGAAAAGTTTTCACCAAAGCATAAGAGTACAAACGAGTCTTAATATTATTACAAAAAAAATTAGTTATTACAAAGTAAAGTCGCTTGGGGGCCAAATAAACCTTATCTTAGTAATGAAGGATTAATATCCAATCCTGGCCGAGCGCAGCTCTGTGGATCGTATACAAGACTATTTATCAGATGTTTCGTGGCTCGCGTCTCTTTACTACAAAAAACAAAACAAAAAATAATAACAATTATTACGATCCTCATTTTAGGGCTATGGGAGCGTAATAATAATGACGATCAAGTCCAAATATCCGATTAGGGTAATCCACGAATTGTGGTTGGGTAATGTTGACTACCTGTCTTCCCTTTAGCCTATAAACTCAAAAATTATGGACTGCCACTGCACATAGCCTCCAAGTATCTTTGCGCGAAATTAAAAAAAAACGAATCTCTCCTCACAAGCAGGAATTTAAAGGACATTTCGACAGTTTTGTGAAAAAAATTCAAACTACAAATTCCTATGAGTCATTCAGAAGCAAGTGAGATGTGTTTATTTTTTGTAAGAAAGAAATTATAAAAGAAATATATAAAATTAGTATCATAAGCCACATTTGTTTCTAATTAAGCACAAAGCTACACAATGGGCTAGTTGTGTTGTGTCGACCACGAGTCCATTAAGCACAAAGCTACACAATGGGCTAGTTGTGTTGTGCCGACCACGAGTCCATTAAGCACAAAGCTACACAATGGGCTAGTTGTGTTGTGCCGACCACGAGTCCATTAAGCACAAAGCTACACAATGGGCTAGTTGTGTTGTGCCGACCACGAGTCCTGATTAAGCACAAAGCTACACAATGGGCTAGTTGTGTTGT